AAAATTAATTTCATAAAAAAATTAATATTTGAAAATTAAAATGCAAAAGTATATATATTTATCTTTTATTTAATTATACTTTTACACCTAAAAAAAGAAAAAAATAATAAAATTTTCTTTTATTAATCATTTTTATAAAATAAAAAAATATATAATAATTACTTTTATAAAAAAAAAATTTAACGTTCTTGATTCTTTAACAGATTTGTTTTAACCGATACTGACAACATTTATATCAATTAAAACACTTTACAAAAAATCTTCTAAGTTGATTTAATCGATTGTTTCGCGATTCAATCGATTGAAATATCGCAAAACTTTCTCGTAAAACTTTTCAAGTTATTTTAACTGATAAAAATAAGTTTTAATCGATTAAAACGCTGTGCAGAAATTGTTTTAATCGATTGAAACGAGATTTAATCGATTAAAATATTTCGATCGGTCATAATCGCATTCTGATCGATCATAATTGAAACGATATAATAGCTGGTTTCAGGTTAACCGCTATCTAAGTTAGCTTTTAAGAGCGGTTCCTGTGTAACCGCTATCTAAAATGTATCTCGCTTGAGCGACACTCTTCTCGCTCGAGCGAAACGCCCCCTGCACAAAATTGGCATTCTCGGGTTGTATTTCGCTTGAGCGACTCTAGTATCGCTCGAGCGATATTTGATTCTGATCGATTAGATTTTAGAAATGATCGATCATATTTTATAATTTTTTCAAATAATTAATTATAATCGATTAGTTTTCTAAATTATTGTTTAGAATTGACTAGTTTTTCAAATAATAGATTAGAATTTATTAATTTCTGAAATATATACTAAAAAATTATAATTAAAAATATAAATTAGTTAAGAATATTGACTATTGTAAAGATAAAGTAGAACATGGGAGGAGATGATGATGATAATATAATGATAGAACTTACAAAAATGTAGAATTGAGAAGTTTGAAACAAATAAAATTAAGAAAATAGATATTTAATTACACTTTTAATAAATTTAAGATAATACTAGTTTTGATTTTTATTTTTAAATATTTATTTTAATTATTTAAAACAGAGAAACTATAATTTTAGTTTCTAGCTATCTGAATTTAAAGAATTAAATTTATTATTATGTAATCTTTTAATTTGTAGAATTAAACTCAATATAATTGTTAAAAATACTTTGTAGAGGCATTTGAGAAAGCTTTTGTCAAAATACTTTGTTTTTAATTGTTAAAAACATTTGTAGAGGCAATTTGCAAAATCTTTTAAGTGAAGAAACCTCATGCAACGAAATCTTTTAATTTTAGTATTAAAAATTTAAATTATATTTTATTAAATTAAACTAGTTACAATATATTTTTTTACTTTGAGAATGAACAATATAATTAAACTCAAAATTGACAATATTATAATACATTTTTGAACTCTTTTGGATTATTTTTTTTCCTAATTTTTGATAAAGTTAATTTTAATATTTAAAAGTATTTAACATTTTGAATTTTGAAAGGTTTTCTCTAATAGCAAATTTAAAAACATAATATTCAAAAAAATAGTTAATGTAAGTTTTCAAAAGAAGATATGATAGCAGTTCCACAATAACCGCTATCTAAAGTATAATTTAGATAGCGGTTAATGGTTAACTACTATTAGAAGTGCACTTTTAAGAGCGGTTCTTGTGGAACCGCTGATCTCAAATGTATTTCGCTTGAGCGACAATATTCTTGCTCGAGCGAAACGCCCCTGCACAAAATTGGCATTCGCGGGTTGTATTTCGCTTGAGCGACACTACTCTCGCTCGAGCGAAATACGATTCTGATCGATCATAACTTGAAATGATCGATCATAATTGAGAGGATATAATAGCGGTTCCCTTATAACCGCTATCCGAAGTGTATATATGATAGCGGTTAAGGCTTATACGTTATCCGAAGTGTATTTCGCTTGAGCGAGACTACTCTCGCTCAAGCAAAATCCGATTCTGATCGATTATATTTTCAAAATGATCGATCATATTTGATATTTTTTTCAAATAATTAATTATAATCGATTAGTTTTCTAAATTATTGATTAGAATTGATTAGTTTTTCAAATAATAGATTAGAATTGATTAATTTCTGAAATATATACTAAAAAATTATAATTAAAACTATAAATTAGTTAAGAATATTGACTATTGTAAAGATAAAGTAGAACATGGGAGGAGATGATGATGATAATATAATGATAGAACTTACAAAAATGTAGAATTGAGAAGTTTGAAACAAATAAAATTAAGAAAATAGATATTTAATTACACTTTTAATAAATTTAAGATAATACTAGTTTTGATTTTTATTTTTAAATATTTATTTTAATTATTTAAAACAGAGAAACTATAATTTTAGTTTCTAACTACTGAATTTAAAGAATTAAATTTATTATTATTTAATCTTTTTCTACTTTGAGAATGAACAATATAATTAAACTCAAAATTGACAATATTATAATACATTTTTGAACTCTTTTGGATTAATTTTTTTTCCTAATTTTTTATAAAGTTAATTTTAATATTTAAAAGTATTTAACATTTTGATATAATGAGCATGATAATATAATGATAGAATTTACAAAAATGTAGAATTGAGAATTTTTAAATCTTTTTCTAATATTTATTTTTAAAAATATAATATTATTTTTAAAATTTAATATTTTTTTTTCAAATATATAAATATATAAAGATATAAATGTATAAGGATATAAATAAATATATAAATATATAAATATATAAATATATCAAAATATAAATATATAAAAATATAAATATATAAATATAAGTTTCTTGTAAAACTTTTCAAGTTATTTTAACTGATAAAAATAAGTTTTAATCGATTAAAACGCTGTGCAGTAAATTGTTTTAATCGATTGAAATGAGATTTAATCGATTAAAGAGTTCTGATCGGTCATAATTTCATTCTGATCGATCATAATTGAAACCATATAATAGCGGTTTCGGATTAACCGCTATCTAAGTGAGCTTTTAAGAGCGGTTCCTGTGTAACCGCTATCTAAAATGTATTTTGCTTGAGCGATACTATTATCGCTCGAGCGAAACGCCCCCTGCACAAAATTGGCATTCTCGGGTTGTATTTCGCTTGAGCGACTATAATCTCGCTCGAGCGATGGTGCAACCGCTATTAGAAGTAAATATAAACATATATCTTTAATATTTTGTAAATGTAAATATAATTTATATATATTTTTAAATCTTTTTCTTATATTTATTTTTAAAAATATAATATTATTTTTAAAATTTAATATTTTTTTTTCAAATATATAAATATATAAAGATATAAATGTATAAGGATATAAATAAATATATAAATATATAAATATATAAATATATCAAAATATAAATATATAAATATATTAATATATAAATATATCAATATATAAATATATAAATATATAAATAAATATATATATATATATATATATATATATATATATATACAAATATATCAATATATCAATATTATCCCCTCATATATTAATATACATTATTAGCATAATTTTAATTTAATTAAAAATTAGAATACAAATATACTATACTATACTAATATACCATTATATTATTTTCATTGTATATAAATTACAAAATTAATAATTTGTATACTATACTATACTAATATATTATTTGTATACTATACTAATAGTATAATATACTATATTATAATATTATTTGTATAGAAAACTAATATCTTTATATATAAATATGAAAACATATAAATATATGTAAAAATATGAAGATATAAATATATAAAAATATAAATATATGTAAAAATATAAAGATATAAATATATCAATATATAAATATATCAATATTTAAATATATCAATATTTAAATATATATTAAAATATATAAATATATTTTTATTTATAGATTTTATATTTATATATTTATACTGGATATACATTTATTTGTATATAAATATAATTTATTTGTAAGTTATTATTAAAAGATCCTAGTAGTTCAGTGGTTGGAGTTTCAACTCTCCAACTCTAAGGTACTCGGGTTCGAATCCTGACAATGACAAGTAAACCACTAATAAGTTAAACTTCTAAAAAATATAATATAATTAAGAGATAGGGGAAATAAATAATAGATATAATAAAAATGTAAATAAATAAAAATAATTAAATTTGTTATTCTTTTTCATTGATTTAGTGACTCGAATCGATGACCGATTTGATTATATATATTCGGTCACTGAATCGGTCATTGATTCGGTCATCGAATCGGTCACTGAATCGGTCACTAAAATCAGTGACCAAGGAAATAGTGACCGATTCCAGTTGGTCACTGATTCGGTCACTGATTCGGTCACTGAATCGGTCACTGATTCGGTCACTGAATCGGTCACTGATTCGGTCACTGAATCGGTCACTGAATCGGTCACTGAATCGGTCACTCGAAATCAGTGACCAAGGAAATAGTGACCGATTCTAGTTGGTCACTATTTCGGTCACTATTTTAATTAGTAACCGATTTTGCACATTTAGTGACCGAGTTTTCGGTTACTATTTAGTGTTTTTCTTGTAGTGGGTGAATGTGTAATTTATTTTGCAAATAGTTATTATTATGAAAAATATCACACAAATTTTAACCTAAAATTTATTTTAGAGATTAATCAAGTTGTTTCTTTAAATTACTTATTAATTTACCTAAAATAAAAACAAGGTCTATTTTTATCTTAAATTACTTATTAATCAAGTTGTTTCTTCTTTTTATCTGAAATTCTGTCTATTACAAATGTTGATAATTCCACCATAGGGTCAAAGCTTCATTCACCTTTCCACCATGGGGATGATTCCTCTCAATTCTTTAATAAAGTCTTGGATTTGCTAACGATCTTTTGGTCGTGGTCGAGTACTCTCCCCTGGCCTAGCTCTCTTCTTGGTGGGCTTTGCGGGTTCCTCTATCTTTTGAGGGTGTTGTGGAGCAGCCTTTCCAATATTAATGTTATGGCTATCATCAAGCCACATGGCTGCTTGTAATTTTGAAAATGTATCTTTCTTGTTTGGGGATTTTTGTGTTGTCCAAGTCACCAAGAGGCTGCATCAAGTCTTCTCTAGTCCCAGGCCTATGAAGGTTGGTGAAATGTATTGTATTGTTATTCATAGATGAAGATTCTACTGTCTGCCTCTTATTGGCTGATAAACCCCACTCAAATTCCGAACTATTAAAAAGATTGTAATTTGCTCCACCCTTCAAAAGCTCTTCAATATCTAACTCTGAGAACAATCTCTTCCGGGTGCCAGGTAGTGTACCAGTATTCAACTCTAATATTCATTCAGAAAATCCAGTGTCAGTAACACAACTCACCACTGGTGTAAGTGTATTCCCCCACCATCCATCGGCTTGATCATAGCTAAAATCAATTTCCATGACATCCAAGAGACCTTTTCCAGTGTTATGCATAACCACAGATTTTTCTTTCCCATCTAAGTTAGAATTAAACCCAGCTAGGCCTGTCGCTATAGCATCATGTAAAGAACCACTTCCAACCAGATGAAAGATAGTGGGATTAAATTCTGTTGATTCAGAAAAGGTGTTATCCAATGAATTACTGCTTTCTAGATGCTATCCTCTGAAGAAGGACCAAACAAGTGGCAAAGATCATCCATGGAGCTGAACTTCAAAATTTCTTCTGACATATCAACTGGCTCTATGTTCTCAGAGTGTCCATGCAATGCATATGAACTACAGGAAAAATCAACTTCTGTCACAACACTAGACTGAGCCGAATATTAATTAATTTATTATCTGTATTAAAGAAACAAGGATGAAAATATATTTTAAAGAATTAAAATTTTGTTTCTAGTTTTAATTATGTTGATATAAAACTTTTTAGTTGATATAGAACTTTTTAGTTGGAATATTATTTTTATGTTTTAATTATTTGAAACATCATTTTGACTATGTTTAAACAATACTTTTATATTTAAAATTAATAAGTTTGTATTTTTTTTTCAAGAATATGAGTAATAGTTTAAATATTAAACATTTGATATTATAATGTTATGATGATACTTTAGTAAGAATACCTATTACACCAATAATGATAATTAGCAAATTACCTGCAAATAAAATTGTGAGAGATTAGCTATGGATTAGCGAGAGAAAAACTTGTGAGTAATTAACTATAAATTAGTTAGAAAAGAATTTTGATACATATTAGGGACAACTAATTGTGAGGGATTAGCGAGAGAAACACGGTGAAGGATTAACTATGGATTAGCGAGGGAAATATTGCGAGGAATTAACTACAGGTCAGCTAGGGATAAATTATCAGGGATTAGCTACAGATTAGCAATAAAACAATTGCGAGGAATTAGCTAAGAATTAACAAGAGCGAAATTGTGAAGGATTAGTTGCGAATAATCAAGAGAAAAAGTGTGAGGGATTAGCTACAGTTCAGTTGCAGACAAATTGCAAGAGATTAACCACAAATTAGTAAGAGATAGATTATGAGAGATTAGCTATGGATTAGTGACAAAATAATTGGGAAGGATTAGCTACAAGTTAGCTAGAAATTTGGGAGATCAATTAGCTAGAGAAAGACAAAATTTCATCACTTAAATTAGCGAGGGATTTAGTGACAAATTGACGACAAAATTTGCTACAAATTTGAGAGAAAATACATCTCTATCTAATTAGTTACTTGGATTTGGCGATGGACTATTTCATAGCTACTCCGTAACTAATCTGTAGCAAAATGTAAGCGAGAGATTAGCTATAAAATTGCTACAGAATGTGTCATAGCTAATATGTAAACCTCACACAACCACCCATGCTCTTTGGACGCATATCAATTTCCTTACACATTTCCATGTACAAAACAGTTAAACTAGCATATCCCTTACTATACCATCACTTTATGCGAAGATTCATTAAAAATTGTAAGAACATCAAGTGTACTTTGTTACCTATTTTGTTAGGAATTAGCACCCCACTAATTAATCATAAAATAAATGCCTTTGTATGGGCATGAAGCTCCTCTTCAGATGGTTGTTCTTGAAGTGGAAACATGTTTTCTCTTAGCCACTTTAACTTGACCATGGATCCAACTAGTGATGCCCCCCCTTATAAGGGTGATGCCCAAAAATGTACCACACATTTCTTCCCAATCAAACATGGTTGGTCCAATCATCAGGGCACCATCCACTATTATTCCTAACTAAATTACAACATCTTGAAAAGTATGTATCTCTGGTCTCCACCTCTCAACCAAAGCTACTACCAAACCATGTTGATAAACCCTTAGTCGCATAGGTTTTCAAAATTTAGTTTTCCCAAAAATGTAGCAAGAGGTAAACCAAGTATCAATCCAAGGAGTGAAATTGCAAATTTTTATTTTTATGGTGTGTAATTTGAATGAAAAAAAAACTAAGTAAATTTGTGGGGATTTTGAGTTATAAAAGTAAAAAAATTAAAAGTAAACAATTAAAAAGATTTTTAACCTAGTAAACTAAAATGTGTGAAATTGCTATTGTATGGAATTTGGTAAAAACTTTAAATGGAACTAAACACTAAATGGTAAAATCAAATTGGTAAAAAAGATACTAAAGATACTAAAACAAATCAAGAACTGAATAAAAAAAATTGCTAGAATTCAAAAACAAAACTAGTTACGAATTTTGTGACAGATTCAGCTAAAAAAATTTGTATATTGTAAATCTAATGGAAACTAAACTAATCAATTATCAAAGCTAGAACCCAAATAGATTAAGCACACAATTGGAACTAGAAAATGGTTGAAATGATGTAAAAACTACAAAAAACTTTGGAAAACCGAATTGAAAAATGCAATTAAACTAAAACATTTGCTAACTATGCATATGAACATGTTATGACTTAAATTGCCTAAAATATGAAACTAATAAAATAAAAATAGAATTAAACTAAGTTCTAAACAGAATTAGAAATGTTTCTAAATGTTTTAGAACACAAAGAATTAAGAAGAATTACGCCTATGATACGAAACAACATAAAAAACTAGACTAGAATTCTAAACTATACTAAACTAGTGCATGTAACATGTTTGTAAAAAATTTTAGAAACTAAAACAACTAAAACAGTTTGGAATTAACAAAAAATAGAATCAAATCATGCCTGAAATTAAATCTGGACAGAAAATACAGTAAGAACAAATTGGAACAATTAAAGAATTCAAATGGACAAAATCTTGAAACTACTCATGACTGAATGCAAAGATTAGTTGGAAACAAACTTCTAATTGTTTGAAAAACTTAAAAACCTATTAACTAATGTTTAGAATTTCTAAATTGTGCAAAAATAGAAAAGGATTATGAAGAACAAGTTCTACAAAAATTAAACACAAAAATTCAATCAAATGTAAAAGTTATTCCTAAATTGAAAACTACTCTTAAATTGTTATGAACAAACCAAACAGAAAATACTCCTAAAATGATTTTTGACCAATTGAATTCCAAAACAAAGTAAAAGAACTTGAAACAACATCTGAGAACAACATTCTAACCAATCAAATAGGAGAAATTAAACCAAAACAACAAAAACAAAATTGAAATGGTAAACAACGTCAAAACAACAAGAACAACAAAACAACACATGAAAACTTTGTGAAATTGACTAATGAGACGTGATTCTTCTGCTTAATGAATAAGGAACCGATTAAGGCTTGAAAAACAACAAGAATCATGCTCAAATCACTGCAAAACAATGTAAAAACCAAAAAGAATGAAGAAGAACAAAGTTGGAAATAATATTGTGAACAATCTATGATTATGTGATGAATTTAAGTAGAAATTCATGTTGAACAAATGTAAAACAGAATTGAATTAAAAGAACAACTAAAGTAAATTAAGAAGAATACTAAATAAAGCAGAAAGAATGGAAACTAAAGAGACAAAAAGAAAACTAAACTGAAAACTAAAGAGAGAGCAAGAGAAAGAACCAAAATTGAGAGAACTTGAACTAGTTTCACATCAATTGAAGAATAGAATTAGGTGTGTGTTACAATGACACGAAAATGCCTTATTTATAGGTTCAAATGTGAGTTAACTAGAGTTAAAACTAACTAAACCATGATTAAAACTAATTACAAGCATGTGTTAAATCTAACTATAGTTAATTTCCGTATCACTTCCATAATAGGATTTTTTAGTTTCGCGAAACCATTTGTCTGATTTATTAAAGATATCTCCTGGCTCCAAAATTAGTCAAATGTGTGCTCAAATTGAAGCTTAAGATGTCTATTTTCGTACGCAAAAAGAATCAGCTCAATCGATCAGAGTTTTGTAGAAAAATATATAAATCAAAGAAGAGGCAAAGGTAAAAAATAGTCAGTGAAGAAATTAGAAGTAATACAGAAAACAATGTTAAAATACAGAAATTAGTATATTTTTGTGATTTTGCATATTTTTTCCTAAAAATGCAAATCTAATCTAATATAATAGAATAAGAACCTAAAAGAATCTTATTTTATTCTATTAACTAGGAAAAATACTAACAAATGAGTTGTTATCGGATGTCAACCTTCGTATGCCTCAACTTTGCGATTTCACCAAATCTTGCTAACTCTAGTATAGGAACAACTAGAGGATGTGGCTCAAGCATGGAATGATAGTACAAGGAGACAATGGTTCCTTAAGGGTCCTAATTGTGCAAAAGAAATTAGTTAAAGTTGTTGAAATGTCAAAATATTGAACAATTAAGCTAATAACACATAAAGTAACTTAACATGAAAGCCAATCCACAATAACATTTTAGGGTGGTTAAATGAAATATGCAAAAAATAAACTTAAACTTTGAAAATTTTCCTCACCTAAACTCTCATTTTGAAAATCAGATTAACATTGGATGTATATATAGAAGAATGTGGAAGTAGGAGGTAATTTTTTTATTAAGATCAATCTTATACGTTAAATAACTTTGAATGATATGGACCATCCATTGTGGGTTGCACTAATGTATGCATTTCATCACTTTACAAAAAATTGACTGGGTCATGAATGCACATATCAGGTCTCATGCAGTGTGCAATTAAAATTGGTGCATTCATTTGTGAGGATTTAATCTCCATTGTTTGTTTAAAGGTGGTGGACAATTGGATTCCATTAATATTGTTCTTATTGTGAACAATATCTTTGTCCTTTGAGTTGGCTATGCCGCTGCCGTCAAAAGAGGCAGTCAGAGTGACGTGATGGTTTTGGTTCGACTCGCATTTTTTAAAGATATGGTTCAACGCTTTTAGGTTGTCTGATAACCAGGCTGGACCTAAAGGCGAGATTTTCGAAAAAGGGTTCTGGAGTCGCCACCAATGTTTTATCCAGAAACATTGTAAAAGGAAAAAGAAGGCGTTGGTTTAGAAAAACCAACTTTGGCCATTATAACCAGAGTTGGGTAAGGGAGTTAGTTACGTGTAGGGAAGGTATTAACTTCCTTATGATACCCCTTTTGGGTTCCCTATGATGCACCGTTTATTTTATAAATAAAGAACTCTAAAACTACGCTTTTACCCTTATTTATTCATTTGCGGAATTTAAATTATTGACTATATGGCCCTAACAGCTAATGCACAGATAGATGTAATAAGAAAGCAGCAAAAGAAGATAGGAAATGTAGGAACCTTCGAAGCAAGCTTTGTATTAATGTTATTGGAAAAGAAAGGTGCTTTTTGGCAACCTCCACACTCTACAGTGATGATCGCTCTTTCTCGCAACACTACAAAACGCTTACTAAGAACACTAAGAAACTCCAGAAATGCTTTGGAGGGGTCCTAGGAGAATAATTTGAAAGAAGTGCAGAAGGGAAAGTTGCTCTGTGTTTCCTGAAAAAGGAGAATGCCCCCCCTTTTATAGGAATTTGCACCTGTCAGGTCGGGACCACCGTCTCGCCTTCGACAAGTGGCGAGACAGCCTTCTCGCCAAACGTGATGGTCGTCTTGCCCTTAACCGATGGTGAGACGGAGGTCTCACCAAATGAAACGGCAGTCTCGACCCTTTGGGTGGAATTTCTTATTTTTCCCATACAAAAATCCTTCCTATTCTAATATGGGCCTATTAATCAATTCTACGGACCTTTTAGGTCTTTTGCTCTTTATTTTGAGGTCGGGCAAGATTTGGGGTCTACAACTGCCCCCCCCCCCCCCTTCACCTGACTAGCTGACTGTTGGCTTAACATGCCAAAAAGATCGACTGGAGGGTGAAGGAGTTAACCTTCTTGTCCGGTTGTCCTTCAGTTGCTTTCCTGGTTGTAGTAGCCGACCTTTTAGACGCTAAATGTGATCCTTCAGGATGCTCCTTTGATACGGTTGTTGACCCCTTCGGTTGATGAGTACGAACCCCCATCCGGTTTGACGAGTATGAACCCCCGTCTAGTAAGCCCCCTTTTGTAAGGTCTGATGAGTACACACCCTCATCTGGTGTTGACGAGTATGAACCCCCGTCCGGTAAGCTCCCTTTTGTAAGGCCTGATGAGTACACACCCCCATATGGTGTGAATTCCATTTTGTAGGACCGATGCGACTTACTTCTCTAGCTCATGCACAAGGATTTTGCCTGTGTGCAAGTCTTTGTCTTTGGGACCTTCCTTGTCCCGAAGTTGTGGTGGCAGCTTACTGCTCTAGCTCATGCGCCGCTTCCATGGGGAGTGATTCTTGCTTTGATAAATGTTTTTAACTTTTTATAGTCATCCGGTGTGCTGGGGATTCTTTGATTTTTGGTGTTTTACAATAGCCATCCAGCTTGTTGATTGCTGGAGATTCTTTGTTAAATGCCTCTGAAGTAGGCAAGAATTCACTGAGGTTTTAATGGTGCCTCTTGAGTAAGTGGATATCCATTTGAGGATTTGTTGATGGTGCCTCTGAGTAGGCAGATGTTTCAACTAGAGGTGAAGGTTTCGTGCTTGCACTGTTTTGCCTCTGAATAGGATGATATCCCATTCTGGGGATATTGGCTCTTTATTTGCCAGATCTTGCCTTCGCATAGGCGAATGACCCTTCTGGGGATGTGAGTCTGAAAGTTTCCTTTGTCATAGGCTCACTGAGGATGATTTTTCTCTTTTTGATGATCCACTGGGGATTGATTGCCTTCACGGGGATCTGATTTTGGTTTTCCCCCTAGGGTTTTGACTCCTTGTTAGGTACTAGTGTGAGCTAGTTTTGCAATGCTCTTATTTCATTGGGGAATGGGCATTCTATTTACCTAAAAGTTAGGATTTTAATTTCGCCTTTTTTCCGCGATTTATCCCTTTTTTATCGTGATTTTGAAATCTGGCTTTTTTATGGGGATAATACATGTGACTTTTTACTTTTTAGTTTCTTTTATGCACGCAGACTTTTTCTTCTTTTTGGGGATTTGCAGGGGATAAAGTTTTCTTTGGTGATCCATTAGGGGATTATCGACTTCCTGGGGATCCAATTTTTCTTTTCTGGGATGGAGTCCTGGCTCCTTGATTAATGTTGATGCGAGCTGACCTTGTGAAGCTCTTTTTCTACTGGGGGGTGGAGATTTCTGATTCTTCCTTTTTGTAGATTTTTCTAGTATGGTCTAGTAGGGGATTTTTTCGGTCTTCTTTGTCATATCCTTTTTTGTCATCTGTTGGAGATGAAGGGTTTTCTTTTCTCTTCTTCTTTTTGTTGATGATGATGGGCTCTTGAAGCCTTTATGCTCCATTGGGGAGTGTGGAGGAGACTTTAGGTGAGTGTGCTCAATGACTTATGTAGTGACGATGCTAAGTCGTGGGGTAATATTTGTGTTGCTTCTAGAGTAGACAAAAATCCGCTTAGGGATAACTAAGCCTTTTCGTCGGTTTTTCTTTTATGATGTCTGATGATTGTGCCCTCTTTTATTGGGTAGAAGAATGATGTTTGGAGCTTTGGCTTCTAGAAGCTTCTTATTTCTTCTAAGCTATTTAATGATGACAACTCGCTCTTCTTTCTTGAGGGAGAGCAATGTTTGAAGACTTCTTATTTGTGCCTTCTTTTTCTGGGGTAGAAGGATGGTAGCTAGAGCTCTTGATTTTTGGAAGCTCTTATTCTACTGAGTTGCTTGATTGACGACTTGCTCCGTTTTCTTGAGGGGAAGCTTTATGCGAAGATTAGCCTGGGTGCTTCCTGTTTTCAATCACAAACATGGAGCTAATCTCCTTATATGCATGAATGATTTTCGTTTTTTGTTTTTTTGTTATTCATCTCGAAGTAATTTTTATTTTTATATATATATATATATATATATATTGTATCTTAACAAAGTCATTTTGTGTGACTACTTCTGCGTGGATGCCCTAAATGCAATATATTCTTTTTGATCGATGCATCTAGAAAAGTGACTGACATCCTCTTGTTAGACTTTCGTGAATATGCTAATGGACCCCTCTCTTTTATTTATTTTTTGGTTTAGCCCTAACTTTTGCCTAGACCGCCCTTTTGGGATTTTCGATCTAGCGGGCTGCTTTAATTTTTGTCTAGGATATCTTAGCGAGCTTTTTTCCTTTTTTATGAATGCCCTAACTTTTTCCTAGACCGCCCTTTGCGGGTGTTCAATCTAGCGGGCTACCCTAACTTTTGCCTAAGAATCTCCTAGCAGGCATTATTCGTTTTATTTTCATTTTTTTTTAAGAGATAGGACTAATCATATGCATGCAATGTTTGCGATATGCATCCTACAATGCTATTTCAATTAATATTTCAAAAGGATTAATCAAATGTTCTTTTGCTTCTGACGTGTTTCTGTCATTATGTGCTTTCGTCGACATGATAGGATGTACCGATTTTGCCATTTTGATTTTGCCATGACCGAAGAATGATTGTGTTGATTGTAGAGCGACTTGCCATGTCAGTGCGCCCCTCCCTTTTCCTTGGGATGTCAATCCTCCTATTGATTACTATCTCCATATTTCCTTAATAATTACTAGAATGTTGTAGTAGTAAGGGTCAAGAGAAAAGAAGGAAGAGGATATTTAATTCAAAGGCTTGTGTTTTAGAATTGTTTTATTTTGACAAAAAATGGTTTTTGTAAGCACGACTAGCCAAGGTTGGTTAGAGTGTTTAGGCTAGTTTAGACAAACGTTTTGTTAATGAGGTGGTGTCTTAAATGATTATTCGATGGCGCCTATCATGACTGATTAACTTCCCTAGTCTACGCTTTGGGTTTTCAGCCTAGGATGTTGTGCTATGTCCTAACTTTTGTCTAGATTTCCTCTTTTCTTGTTTTAGGAATCCTAGCGGACTTTATTTTGTAACCCTAATTTTTGCCTAGGCTATCCTTTATTATTGTTCGGGTCTCCTAGCAGGTTTACCCTAACTTTTGTGTAGCCCCCTTAATGGGTTTCCTTCTGGGTATCTTGCTTTTTCTTTTTGGCCTTTAGCTTCTATGGGTTTCTTTTGATTTTTGTTTCTCTTTGCACAATATTGGTGAAACACGACTTTATTATGATGAGGTAAAACCTTATTTTGTGTTTCTAGTCAATCAATGATGATGGGTGGTTTGATTATTTTGACGATGGCACATTTTGATTATTTTGACGCACTTTTGAAAATGTTTGCTTAAACATGGTTATTATGAGGTTTAGACATGAATAGCAAGAAGAGAAGCAGATAGTAAGAATGACATTCTTTATTAATTAAAAGGGAAATATGTGTCCTACAATGCTCGGGAGTCGGGCTAGCCTCGAGGAGTAATCTCTAATAGTCATTGGGTTTACATCCCTTAAAATTGGAAGAAGAATACATAATGACAAAAGTCGTTCTTGACACTTGGACCCCTTCATTTGGGAAAATCTGATTTGAGGTGCGGAGGGGAGACTTTCCTTTTCTCTGTGCAGTTTGATCCTTTGTAGGGTCATGCTTTAAATGATTGTCTTTAAAATTTGGTGGCTCCCTTATTCCTTGAGAGTTGCTAATGAGCCCTTGGTTCGGGCGGTATCCATATCTCCTCATCATGTGGGTCACCTCCATATTGTTGGGGAAGTCTTTTCATATTGGCAAAAGATATTTCAAAGATCCTCTTCAGTTGCATTCATTAAAGGTAGGGCAGACAACTTGCTGATTCAAATGTCATTTTTAGCTCGAACCGTGACCAGCTTGTCGGCTACCGTGAGTTTGTCTTTTTGGCGGAGCGTTGAAAGAACTACCTTAGCGTCTTGAATCCAAAGTCTACTCAATTTCCTCTTTGGATTATGTTTTTCTTCGGTCTTTTTATTTCTTCCTTTATTCCA